CCCATCCTCCTTCTGTTCTGAAATCTGATTTGTCCTTTTCATATGTGTTCATTTTTTTAATTGTATCCTTTGGTATATATGGTTGTGACAATTTTCTTCCACTATTTGATCTGGCCCACGAAAGCTCATCACCTAATAAACCATCTTGTTAGTCTTTAAAGTGCTACATCGTCCTGTTTTATGTTTCAGCTACACCAGACTAACACGGCTACATTTCTATGCCTATAAGTAGTCAGTTCAACGTCCCCTTGATGCCATTTAATTGTCTCTTCCCTGTCTCCTAAACTCTTATGACACTGAACCCAGTCCTATGACTGAAACTGTGGTATGTTGGTTATGAGGAGATAGGTAAAGAGTGAATGAAATATTGCAGCTAGGGAATAGGAGAAGGAAACGGACAAAATGCACCAAGATTACAATCAAATGGGAGATATCCTGTGCCTAATTCTGGTTTCTCTTGTACCAAGTTTACATTAGGGTAACCACAGGATATCTCCCATTTCACTCACAACAGTGACATTAATTTTGATTTATATTGATCTAAGTGAGATCAGAAGCAAGTACATATATTTTTTAGGAGGCTCAAGCTATCACCAAAAAGCACAAAAAAAGTCACCCTTCTTTAGCACATATGTGTGGGTTTCATAGCATTCAACATTGGAGAATATGAGCAGTAAACATCACAAGTGAAATGCTCCACAAATGTAAAATGGTACATCTACATTGATGTCAGTGCAGCTTTGCCAGTTTACAGTTTCAGCGTAGACTTTGACATTTCAGCCTGTTCTGGGTGTGGGGCGATCCCCATCAACTTTAAGTTTCCTGTGGTGGCAGGTTTGCCAACAATGTCTGAAACATCCCTGATCAAGAACAAATGAAACACTAAGGGTACATCTACACAGCAACGTTATTTTGAAATAATGTCGAAATACTGTCACGCTGGAGGACTTCTTACTCCAACTCCTGTAATCCTCATTATATGAGGAATAAGGGAAGTTGGAGGAAGAGTGCTCTATTTCAAAATAAGTGCTATGTAGATACTCCCAATTTCAATTTCAAAATAAGCAACACAATCAACGTAGCTCAGTTTGCGTAGCTTATTTCGAGCAGACATGCCCTAAATGTTGTTTTGCAACAAGGTGGTTTTAGTTATGGAAAATGACTGGTGAGAGATATATGAAAAATTGCCATGTATATAGCCTTATTTATTAAAAATAAAACAACACCAAAATGAAGGAATTCACATTTGTTGGTTTGTTTATTCCCTTTTCTCCCCTGTGTTCCCCTACAGGCTGTAATGATGGTCTCTGTGCAATTTCTGCTGTTCTTTGGATATGTCCTTTCAATGCCTGACTGCCCCCAAAAGTGTTTATGTACCCCCTTTCTAACGGATTGCCGCGGAGCCAGTTTATATGAAGTTCCACATGGCATCACTCCGAAAACAGAAACATTGATCTTGAGTGACAACCATTTAACCCTCATTTCTCCAGGAGTGCTTCAGCACCTTTTCAATCTCACATTCCTTGGTATAGCCAACAACAAGCTGTCACTTCAGAATGACTCTTTCGACGATATCAGCAAGAGCATCCTCTCCCTGGATCTCTCTGGGAATAATTTAATGGATCTACCATCAAACTTGTTCAGGAACACAAAGAAGCTGGTTTGGTTAAACTTAGCTGAAAACGGTTTGAGTCTTCTGGACAGTACAGTTTTCAGTTCCCTAGGAAAACTCACCTATTTGGATCTCTCTAATAACAGACTGAAGATGCTTACACCAATGTTTGTGGGGCTTTCCCAGCTTGATACCTTAATGCTGGCTGGTAACCATCTCTCCACCATACCACAGGGAGTTTTTGATCCCATCCCTAACCTTAAAATCCTTGTTCTATCCCACAATGAAATAAGCCATTTGCCTGAGGGTTTGTTTGATAACCTAAAGAGTCTTAATGACTTGCTGCTAGATTATAATAATTTTACCGAGATACCACATGCTATATTCACAACCCTCCACAACCTAGAACATTTTTCCATTTCTAAAAACAGAATCCAAAATATTCCACCTCTCTTGTTTGCTAGCAGGTTTACCTTGAGGAAACTTGATCTGTCTAGTAATTTACTATCAGAGCTACCTTCTGACTTCCTTTCAGGTCTGGAGAAGCTGGAAGTTCTTAATTTATCTGCAAATTGTATTGGTAATGTTCCCAAAAATCTATTCATAAATAACACTAGGCTAGAGTTTCTGCATTTGGACAAAATTTGTCTCCAGACTCTACCTATTTTTTTAGGCCTTCAAAATCTGATTGAGTTAACTGTATGCTGTAATGGATTAAAATTTTTACCAAAAGCATTCACTAACAATATGGTTAATTTGGAACTACTAGATCTCACCAAGAACAATATCAGTCAAATAGAGGACGATGCATTTAAGATGAACCCTAATATCACAAAAGTAATTTTGACTGGGAATCCAGTTTGCACAACTGAACGATTTATGCATTACTCTTTTAAAGGACTAGACTGTAGCAATAAAAATTAAAAGATTATACTGTAGAAGGATGATTTTTATCAAGAGCTGTACTTCTGCTACTTTCAATAAAAGTCTAACATACATATTGCAAGAAGTGTGATTATTTCTGAACTCTAAAGGACCATCCTAAAACAGTACAAGTATTCTAAGACGCTATGTACCTAATTTATGACACAGTGCCTTTGATCACTCCAACTAAGAAGATGGATGCCTTAGTTAGCAGGGTATCATTTACCTCCACAGAGGGGCACAGGTGTTTAAACCCCAGACAAAATACATGAGTCTTACTTTGAGTTTCTATGAAGCTATACAAATCAAAGCAGTTGATGTTTAGCTTTTAGCACAGGGGTTAGAGCACTCAGCTGGCATGGGGAAAATCCAGGTTCAATTCCCTCCTTTGCCATATGGGGAGCAAGGGCTCTAATAATCAAATTATAGAAGGTCTCCTTCAGTCTCTCATGTTGAAGCTAACTAAAGAGTAGTGGGTTCAGGAGCGCTTAACCCTGGATCTCCTATCTCAGTGGCATAAACACTGGGCTATGAAGTTATTTGGAGTTATGTTCATGCTCTTTGCCTGACCCTATGAGTGTTCCACTGTGGAAAAATACTTAAATAGACATTGGGATAGAAAGTGAGTGCATGAGAGAAAATGACTCTGATCTGAGGTAGGGCACTCACTTGGAACAGGAGAGACTTGGGTCTGCACCCTTTTCAATCATGCTTTCATTATTTAGCCACAGTGGAACAGCTTTATTAGGAGAGATTGAGATTACCCCATATCAGAGTATCCTAGCTCTGTGGATAGAGCAGGCCCTCTCAGAGGTGGAGAGACACTTGTTTGAATCTTCTCTCACCCCCTGACAAGAGAGAAGAGTTAAAATTAGACCTGGTGCATACTAGGCAAGTGTTTTAACCATAGGGGTCAGAGCATATCCAGTGTGTGATTCTTGCATTTGGGGAGCAGAGCCCTTCCTAGGCATAACACAGAATACACAGCTATGTAGGGCCGCATCTGTGGCAAGAATCGGCTGTCAGCCACCACTGATCAGCTATTTCCCTTTCTGGCAGAAGGGGAAACTGTCACTCATCTCCAGCTGGATGTATTGCTGCCCCTTGCTCCATCTCCACAGCTCGAGTAGTGCTGTTGCCACCTGGGTCTGTATCTCTCACTTGCTCCTCTGTCAGCCTCCCTGCCCTGCTCTTACCCCCTGTAGCCCTGGATCTCCTCCCCACAGCTCCTGCCCCTGTGGTCCCACAGCCCTTAAGCACAGACTCCCTGTGGCATGGTCACCCCCACATAGGGGGTGTGCAGGTGCTCAAGCTGCACAGGGCATCATGTGAGGACAGCCCTGTTGGGGAGTGAGTGCTGGAGGCTCCCTAGAAAAGGAGATATCCTGGAAAAACTCCACCATGTTCAAAGAACGTGTTTGCTATTCTGCTTTTTTTTGTGGAAGAGCAAACGCCTTTTTTCGGGGAGCCCTGTATACCTTGTTCTACCAGGGATGAGAGCTCTGCGGAAAGAGGAGTCTTTTCTGCCATTTGGTCCTATCTAGACTGGGCAAATAATAGAAAAGCCTCTTACGCAAAAGCAAATGGAAAAAGCTACACAATTTGTGTAGCTTTTTCCAGAAAAACCTATAGGCTATGTCTACACTTATTTCGAAATAAGGGGCCTCCAGCCTTACCTGCTGGCCACTCTGGCCTCAACCAAGAATACTCCTCTCCCTCCCTCCCACCTCCCCAGAGCCCTTAATGGGGTAGACTCTGGCCACAGTGCCTGTGCCAGCTCCAAGCCTGCCAGCTCAGAGCCAATAGTCACTGCCCCTGAATCAGTGGCCCCAAAACATGAGACAGCAAGCCACTGGCAGCCCGGCCCCCACCG